TGAGACGACAGAGACAAAATGATAATATCATGTTGATGCAAGCTTTTGCTGCCCTTGAAGCCGGATACTCGCCTGCTGTTTGGTTGGCCAATTTACAATAGCTTGAACGTTGGTCATTATCTGCCTATGCCTTGCTCATTCGGGAGCCATAAATATCTGCATCTCTCTACCTCCTTGGACATGGCCTCTGCACTCTGTGGATTAGTCCATTGCACCAGAATCAGGCATGTCTTTTTACAATCTTGTTGATCAGCCTTTGCACCGCTCAGAGGTTCTCCTCATTGCACGAGCTAAGGTGATCCAACAGTTGCTCACATGGAATACCTGCTTCGACCACCTTCCGGCCGGGGTGGTTGACAGGCTCCTCCTGAGCTCTAGTTATTTTAAGGAAGGGGGAGATGTCACGCGCCATTGTTTCCGGGCTCTTCATGCCCTGCATGAATCCCGGATGTGAGTCCGCTGGTGACGGCGGTTCACGCCTGCGCAGAAGGGGCGCTTGGCTCGTCAGAATGACGCAGGCCGGCATTGACCAATAGAAATGGGCTACGTCACCCGAGAGGCTATAAAAGGCAGGCTCGCATCCGGCTCGGGGTCTTTCCGCCATCTTGAAGAATGTAGAAGAACCTCCAGTAAAGCGTGCATCAGAAGAATCCTGAGTGTTGCGTGTTCCTTGCTGGCGAGGTGCGCGTGACAGTTGCACAACATGGCATAGAAGGGGAAGGTCAAGAGAGAAGAGGAGAGCAAGGGGGAGATAGCAAATCCACACACTCAATAGCAACATTCAGTCCTTCATTAGGGCAGAGTGCTCATGACCTAAACGGGCCCTAAAGATTCCAATACTGCAAAGTGGCAATTAAATTTCAGCAGAGTATTATAGGGAACAGACCTTCAAATTGGAGCATAAGATAAAATTTATCGAGCATTTACTATGAGTCGAGTTATGACATTAATATTTTGTGTATCTCTTGTAATGTCATATTCCCCACAATCCCATTTTACACAACTAACCCCCTTGTACAAATGAGAAAACTGAGGCACAGAAAGATTTGTTATCAATGGTTATATAACTGGTTATATAAATGAGAGAGCTCAATAGCTCAAGTTCTTACCTACTATCATAAATCTCATACTAATGTATATTTGTATTTTTACACATATAATGCATCTATAAATAATATTTATAATTATGTTTTAAAGTTACACATAAATTTCATACTGTACAAATAGTTTTTCAAGTTGTTTTCCCTGGAAATTTGTTTGTAAGATTTACCCATGTTGGGTCAGGGTTTTAGCTCGGTGATGCTGCTGCCTGCCTTGCAAGCACAAGGTCCTGAATTCAGTCCCCGGTACCACCCCCCAAAAACATTCACCCATGTTGATGTATGCAGATGGATTAGGTCATTCATTGTCACTGCTGGGTAGAATTACACTGTACAAATAAATCAGGTTTATTTGGCCTTTTTTTGCCACTAAGGGGAGGTTAGTTTCAGTGCTTTCAATTAGAGAAATAATATGCTGAGCAGCCTTCCTTATATTTTCTTGGGAATATTTGCAAGACTTTCTCTATGATAGACAAATCCAACAAATGTGCTGGGCCCTAGAGCTTTCACCTCTCCAAAATGGCTACATAGTACCAACTTATTCACCAGTAATATTCAAAAGTTCCTGTTTCGCCTATCCTCCCTGCATTAGTTTTCTAGGGCTCCCATAAAAAGTACTGTGCAATGAGTGGTTTGGTGGCAGAAATTATTTTCTAACCAGCCCAAGATTAAATTGTTGCCGGGGTTGGTTGGTTCTCTGACATCTTTCCTTAGCTTGCTGATGGACTGTTTTCTCTGTCTTCACATGACCGTCCCTCTGTGGACCTGTGCCCTGATTTCTTCTTGTTGTAATGACACCGGTTAGATTAAGGGCCACCCTAATGACTTCATTTTATCTTATGTCTACAGAAACTGTCTTCAAATATATCACCCTCTGAGGTACTGAGAGCAAGGACTTTAACACGAACTGAGGCGATGAGATGATGTAATACAGCTCATAACATTTGCTGTGTCAGTTAATTGTCAGTTTAACTGGATTGGGACTCTGGGAGAAGTGATTGGATAATGGAGGAGTTGCTGAACATGCTGTTAGGAGGTAGGGTCCAGTTGCAGGTGGGTCACTGGGGTTTGCTTCTGTAGGTTGTCTTTCACTGGCTGGTGCTCCTCCCCCGGCTCTTCTTCCCAGCTGCCACGAAGTGAGCAACTTTGCTTCACCGTAAACTTCTGCCATGATGTTTCTGCCTTGGAGCCACTAAACATGGACTGAACACTTTGAAATAATGAGGCAAATTAAACATCTACTTAAATTGCAGGTGTTGGGGGCCAGGTATTTAGCTCAGTGGCACCGCGCCTGCCAATCAAGCCTAAGGTCCTGAGTTTGATCCCCGGTACTGGAAAAGATAAATAAAAAGAGATTGCAGGTGGTGGGTATTTTGTCGTAGCAGCAGGAAAGCTGACCAGCAATTTGACAACACTTGAGTTTATCAACCTTAATTATTTTTACAAATTAATGATAATAAATGGTATTGGGTCATTTAGCCATTTATTGACATGTCTATATTCCCACCTAGACAGTAGATTTTAAAAGACAAGGCATTTAATCTTACTGATCTTTGTACCCCACTCAGTAGCACATAGTTGATGTATAGTAAATACCCTTTGAATTACATTTTTGAGCACATGTGAAAACAGAGACCAATAAATTTGATAGATTTTTGTCTAATTGAAATTGCATTTCTTTGAAGTTATTTGTATTAAATTTCATAAGGTTCACAGTCAAGTGGATAAGTTCCTGTCTTGATGATCCAGTTTGCATTTTATCAAAGTCTGTTTTCTTCCTCTTTTACTGGAAGTCTCGGAAAGGCATTTCACAAACAAATGTTTATAGATCCCAGTATATCCAGGAAGGGTGGGGACATGAAATAGATACAATACAAAATCAACTTAATTTGCTTTGGATTTGAATTCTCAATTAAAACTATGAATCAGTAGAGTAAAATGAATCCATAATCTAATTAGCTTGATCTAAATATTTAGAATTTCTTTTCATATATTTTGACAATTTCAAGGCATAATTTTATAAAAATTTAAATTAGTTTTAAAAATACAGGTTCTAGTTGGAAACAAATAGCTTTTCGTTACAAAATTCCCTGGCTCATTTCCTCTCTCTGGATGTTGTAGCAAGGAATGAGCCCTCTTTCTTCTAGAACAAGGTAGCAGCTTTTGTGTAACTAGTAACCTGGAGTTTTAACTCTGTAGTTATAATTCAGCATATATAGCTTATAGGTATATATAGTAGGTAACGTTTAAGAACGCAGAATACATTCTCCATTTTTTGTTATCCTTTCCCCTGGGATCCTTAACAAGAAGAAGAAAGAGAAGGGGGAGGGAAACGGGTAGGCAGGTGATGAGGGAGGAGGAGGAGGAGGAGGAGGAGAAAGAGGAGGAGGACAAGGACCAAGGACAAGCTCAAGGAGAAGGAGAAGGAAGAGGAGAAAATCCAAACATGACTCCTGTGGAGAAGTTGTAAAGTTGCAGTGCCTTAGAACTTTTTAAGAAGTTGAAAAGGAAGCCTTTTTTTTTTTTTTTTTTTTTTTTTTTTTTTTTTGTCCTGTCCTGGAAAGATTTGACTTGCACCGGAAAGAAGAATGTTTTGGTGATTTTTTTTTTTTTTTTGAGATGCAACCTTATAAACATTTTGACTGGAATTAGTTATTTGAACTTTCTGAGAAACTTCTAGGATGCCAGTGATTAAAGAATCACACAATAAAAATCCTCTTTATATCCATGCAAGGTTATACTCCCCTTCAGGCCATTGGTATTGCCATTTTTCTGATCAATAGAGTCCTACCAGGTGTAGTCATAAGCTTTCAGGGAGGCTCAGCTCCTTACATTCCTCCTCTCTGTGGCGCTACAAATTCCTGGGGACCTTACATCAATGAACAGTGGGCAGTCTGGTCACAAATGATTCACGAGAAGTTGGCCTCTGGGAACAAAAGTGGAATAGGAATGAAATTATGTTATGGAGCTAATAAAATTATTATTATTATTAAAATTACTTTCATATAAGAAGCTGCTGCCTTTCCTAGCTGAAGAGGTCACTACAGTGTCTGGGAGGTTACAGAAGTACTAATTTGGTGTGACTCACCTCCTCCTGAATAACTCCCTCATTTCCCCTAATGCCACACTTTATTTTTAGCTTTGGCCTTCTGCAGCACTTGACCTTTTGCCTGGATAGAGGAACACACTGTGGATCTCAAACTTGCAGCCTTCCCTGTGCTGTGCAACATAGAGGATGTGTGTATTAGATGGTGCTTTCTTTAGGAAACTTGCAATCCAGAGTGGTCATTTAAGACACAGTAAAATTGGTCATGCACACATACATACTTTCATATGCATGCATACACACATGCACTTGTACACACACCCTTTTGGTAGCAATGCCTTGCATGACTGAGTTAGGATCTTTCTCTCTTTTGCCACCTGCTGTAAGAAATTTGTGTAGTCTTAACATTTTATAAAATATTTTTAAAAATGTGGATGAGCATCTTAACTCACTCATTTAGAAACATTATCTCATTCATGTAGAGAATTGCAAGAACCTAGGAACAATCTTCCAAAGATAAGTCTGGTTAAATAAATCTTGGAATATTCATACAACAAAATGCTATGCAACTATTCAAATGATCATCAAGAAGTTTTTTAAATGAAATGGTTTCTTAGTCTATTTCTTGTTGCTACAACTGAATATCTAGACTGGATAATTTATAAAGAGAAGAAATTTATTTCTCACAGATATGCAGGCTGGGAAATCCAAGGTTGGGACAGGTCTAGGGAGGACTTTCTTGCTGCTGGGGACTGTTTGTGGGGTTCCCAAGTGGCACAGAGCACCACATGGAGAGGGAGTTAGTGAGAGGCTTTTATAAGGAGACTGACTCACGATAACTAACCACTTACTGGGTCCATTAATCTATGAATGGATGAATCCTTCATGAAGGATTACCATTATCCAGCCATCTCCCAAGGGTCTCATCTCCAAATACCACTATGACAATGATGATCAAGTTTCCAGCTCATGCATTTTGGGGGACAAACATTTAAACCTTAGCAAATGAGAAAACACTCTCGAAATTTTTAATCTTACAAAACTGAAACTCTATACCCACCAAACACTAATTCTCCTTCCCTCTTGCCAGCCTTTGCTAATTACCTTTCTACTTTCTGCCCACTTTTGACTACTTGAGATACTGCAGATGAGCGGAATTATACAATGTATGTCCTTTTGTAACTGGCTTATTTTTCTTAGCATAATATCCCTTGAGATTCATCCATCCTAAAATGAACGTTTTTTTCCCATTAAGTTTATGGGTACATTTTGGGCATACAGTACAGTTACATTCATCATTGGGAACTTGTACCTTTACAAGATGTATCTTGGTTCTTTTCTTTTCTTTTCAGCTTTAATTGAGTTTATTGGTACATTTTAGGGATACAGTACAGTTACATTCATCATTGGGATCTTGCACCTCTACATGACAGGTCTTGGTTCTCATTTTTTTTCCCCTTGTCCCTGCCCTCCCTTCACCCCCTCCTCCCCTCCCCATCTACAAACACTTTATTTCCATCTTTTCATTTTTTTCTCCATTCCCCAGCCTTCCCTTCAACCCCTCCACTCCTCCCTATTTACGAAGATTTTGTTTCTATTTTTTCCTTTTCTCATATTTTTTCCTTTCTCCAAACCCTCCCACTTCTCCTACCCCTTTAGAACTTTTCTTCCTATTTCACATTATCAATTATTCTAAAATGAACTTTTGATATGAATTCCTCCATAGCCAGAAAACTTTTACATTCCTTGTAGGAATTAGAAGTGACTCTAGAACATCCAAGACAATTTCCCTTACCACCTACTTTAATGTAATGAAAAATGCAGAGAAAAGCAGTGCAATGCTAAAGGTCAATAATGGCAAAATTGAGCTCAACAAATATAAATAATAGAGGTAAGATTTTAGGTCTTTCGTATGTTGTACAGGAATTTTCATGTTTTCCTTTTCTACTCAATATTAATGGTTTAAAAATAGCTTTGTTTAGTAATACTCCATTTTGTATTCAAAGCAAAAGCATCTGCCTTACTTACCTGTTCAGAAGGTATGCAACAATTCTCTTCGTGTTTCTTCAGTTTTGTTTGTAAAATGCATTCCATAGATGGTCAGATTTTACATTCTGGGCATGGGGGATCCTTTTGGCAGTTTGTCCTAATGTGGCTGTGACCACACAGGGTGGGACAGCACATGAAGTGGGTCTTCCCAGATCAACTGATACTGGGAAGGGTTAACCACCTCCTCTGCCTTCACTGTTACCAGCACTCACCTTCCTCCATCACCACTCTTACATGTAATATATTTTAAATCAAAGTATGTGTGTGTGTGTGTGTATATATATATATATATAACCACATAGTTCAAGAAACATGGAAGATAAATTGCTTCTTTGTGGAAGTTAAGTATATTCCTACACATTTAATCTTTGGACTAGGACCTACTCAAGTCATGCATGTTACTTGACTGGCTCATGTGGACATTTTAATTTGTTATCCCTGTGAGAGCTCACAAAAGTAGCTTTGCCAATATGTCAAGCATGTAAGCATATGTGTGTATGTGAGTATGAAAATAATCAAGCTTTTAAGGCACACTCCAGCTCCAGATGGGGACTAGCATTACAAAAATAAAATTGCAAAAATATTTTTAAAGATTTTGAAGAAGTGTAGTAAAGATGTCTAGCCCTACCAGAGATAAAACATAAAGCTACCATAGTTGCAAGTCTCATGGTGCACAAGACTAGACACCTCACAGTCCAGAAACAGATTACTACATCTAGAATTTAGTATATGCAATTTGGCATTCTTGAAAATATGCAAAAAAGGCAATACGTACACATTTTTTTATAAATGTTATTTAAAGGGGGAAATTTTAAATTAGTAGTGGCTTTGGACTTCAGTTTTTACACACACACACACACACATTCCATTTTATTAATATATTCAGATACTTTTTTCTTTTGAGCATCATCCATAATGTAAGCAATAATAAACCCCTCAGATTCTTGCAAGACAGTTCTTTCATCAAGAAGTCTAAACAACGGGGAAATTAATCAAGATTTAACTCAAAAGAGTGAAGTTTTAAACCAGTGGAAAAGAGAAAAATATTGAGGCTGATTCTTTTTTTCCCTGATATTAAATTATATTTTTTGATTTTGTATTCTTATAGATTTTTTTCTGGAGAAAAGAAGCAGCCTGCTTCTACTTTAACTGAAATTGAAGTTAAATTGGCAAATTTATTTCAATCTGAATTTCTCACACTCTTGACTACTTTCAAGTAAGTATTTAAGCAAAGTGAATATTTCATTTTTTTATGTTTTATTTCTATATTGTTTACTCTCTTAAGGAAATTATTAAATCAGCTATTATTAAATTGTAAATATTTTGGACAAAGACATGATACAGAGAAATATATTTTAATTGGAATTTCTATTAGAGTGGTAGAGTTCTGTAATTATTTGCAATTTGATTCATATGTTGTTAATAACTCTGAAGATTGTGAAACTTTGTCTTGAAAAGATATTTTTTCTTCTGCCTATGCCAAGTTGTCTAGAAAATACAGAAGAATATGCATAAAAGTTGAAGTCATTTATCCTAGAAATAGAATCATTCTAAAATTCTGTTATCTTATAATATGAAGGAATTTTTGAATAGTTTTTAGGAAGTTAGAATTATAGCTAATGAATTTAATATAAATTTTTTTACTTAATTTTGACAAAGTCAATGGGAATTTCAAACAGCTTTTGAAACAAGTTAATAAGAATTTACATGTTATTTTTAATAAAGTACTGCAAATAATAGAATCTTTAGTGATTTATACTTTTCCACATTGCACATAAATGCAACAAAATTTTTACGTCCCCCTAAGGATAAAATTACAGAGAAAAATTGCTTTTACATTCATAAAAGAAAACTATATGAACTATCATTTTAAGAATTACTGAAATTATTTGATCTTTAGGTGAGAAATTTTAGGTAGTACCCTACCCAGGAAAAAACTACCAATGAGAATTTCCTGAACTTGCAATAATATTAAGAATTAACTATTTTCCCTTTTTTTGTATCCATGTTTTTTACTCCTGCCCAATAACCATGAAAATATGTAAGCCACCAGGTGGCAGAGTTGCCTTCGTTTAGATTGAAGATTACATATTTTTTTTCCCACTGATCACCGTTTTATATTTATTTTGAGTGTCTTTCAAATATTTTATTCTTGCATCCCTAACATCATTTTGAAAATATGCACATCATGTAAACTTTAAAGCTTATGTATTCAATAAAAGTTTAGATAATTGATGAGATGTAACTTTGGCATATTGAAAATACTGAAATGTTAAAATATAATTGTTATGCCAATTTTTAAATTAATCTAATTGAACCCAAAATACACAGAAATGTGTATTAACCACCATCAGGCTCATCTTTTACAGTTGTATGCTCCTTAAAATCTTATTTGTCATTTTATTTCTTCCACAGAATTGTATACTAGCATAGAATATTTTATGCTAGAAAGTTATGATCATTGTATTATACTTCTCTGAAATGAGTATATGAATAAATGAAATTATTATTATTATTATTATTGGTACCAGGGATCAAACTCAGGACTTTGCACTTGTGAGGCAGGTGTGGTGCCACTGAGCTAAATCCCCAGCACCTAAATGAAATGAATTTTTAAAAATTTCTTGTGACCATAGGTGCTGTCAAAATTTTACTAGTGTGCAGTTAGTCTAACATTGCGAGTACAGTACATGTCAACTTTTGATACATGTATAACAAAAAGAGTAAAACTAATTAGAAATACATCTCGATATACTGGGATATAAGAAGTTTTGCTTATCCCTTTTTGAGACCAAGATTTCTCCTCTTGTAGGTAATACAGTATATTACAGTAAGATTCTAGGTGACAGGGTACGGATGTCTCATAGAGGTAGACAGCTTGCCTAGCATCTCCAAGCACCTAAGTTCATTCCCCAGTACTGGGGAAAAAGTGAGTAAAGAAGTAGGCCATTCTTTATAAAGTAGAGGCACCCTTGTGAAAGAACAGTAGGGGAAAGGAAGTCTAGTGAAAGGAAAGCTTATCAATTTTAACATAATATGAGCAGATTAATTTTAAGAAAATTATGTATATTATTTGAGGATCTAAAAATTGGTTTCCTTAGAATGGTATTTCTCAGCCAAAGGAGATTTTGCCTTGAGGATATTTGGCAGTGTTTGCAGATATTCTTGGTTGTGACAGCTGTGGGCAGGGTGTTGGCATCTGGTGGGTAGATACTGCTAAACTACTTTCTTTCTAAACCAACACAGCTGAAAGCCTGAAAACTACCAGCTGCTCAATATGCTTATGGAAGGAAAAAGAAAATGAAAAGGACAGAAAGCATTATACAATTGACATAGAAAGAACTATAATAACATTCATGGAATCTTGGAATTAATTTACTGATGGTAACGAGTACAGGATCCTGGGAGAGATTTTGCCTAGCATGAGAAAGGCTCTGGGTTTGAATCCCAACTCCACAAAAAGCAAGACAAATAAAAACACCTGAAATCTTCAGCATATTTCATCCTCTTCTGTTTGTTCAGTTTTCTTAATGGAAAGTAGGAGTTCCAGATAAAATGAAAGTTTATAAAATTTCCTAATATACATTTATTTGTTCATTAATATGAAAAATCCCGAAAGACATAAAAATATGACAATGACCAGTCATTATTCCACCTAAATATCTAAAATGAATAATAAACAGCCTGTCTTGTTTATCTCATCCCACCTTGCCTAGGTAATACTTGTTAATTTGTTGGTGCCCAATATTTCAAAATTTTTGCTAAGTTTCTATGGTCCTATTTATCTAGGTAATACTTGTTAATTTGTTGGTGCCCAATATTTCAAAATTTTTGCTAAGTTTCTATGGTTTCTCTAAGTTTCTACCTTTGAGATCTGGAATATAAAACATTAACATGGCTTCCAGAATTGCCTATTTAATTAAATAGTCCTTTCCTAGAATTAAAAATACAGTGTGGTGTGCTCGCTTTGGCAGCACATATACTAAAAATAGTGTGCTGTATTGGGGAGGGGAGTATTGTATATATGCACACATATATGTGCACTGTCCAGAATGAAAGATAATTTTTACTAACATATAATATTTCTAAACTTCAGAGTCAATACCTTGAGAGTTCAGGCAACTGCAAAGTCAGAGGAAATACAGCTCCCCACAAAAGCACCTGTACTTTTGCAACTTTGGGAGGGTAGAAATTTATCCCACAACCATGCTCATGTACAATAATTAATCAGGATATCAAAACTCAATAGGTGCTCTTATTCTTATAGTAATGATTTATTACAGATAAAGGCTACAGATTAAAATTTGCCAAGAGAAGAAATGTGTAGGACAGAATTGAGGACAAACACTAAATATGGAGCTTCTATTTACAACTCCCCATGGAGTACAGACCTGTTATTCTGTAAGTATTTGTGCAGAACAATGTGCACGAATTATTGTCAACCAGAGAAGCTCAGCTGAATCTTGATGTTCTGAGTTTTTAATTGGGAATTCGTTATCTAGTTAATTTCTTTTTGTTTGTTTGTTTGTTTCCTCATTGAATTTATTAGTACATTTTAGGTATATAGTACAGTTACACTCATCATTGTGTTTGTATTGTGTGGAATCATACAATATTTATTATCTGGTGTCTTTCATTTAGCATGCTTTTGAGGTTATTTTCATGGAGTGTCAGTTATTTGTCAGTGCTAGGTAGTAACACTCTATTGTACAAGACATAATTTGTCACCCGTGGAATATTTACATTGTTTCCAGTTTTGGGCTTCTTTGGACAAAGCAACTATAAACATTCATGTGTGACTCTTTGTGTACATGTATGTTTTCATTAATTTTGAGCAAATATCTAGGAGTAGAATTGTTTGGCTGGGTCGTTCATGTTTAATTTATAGGAAACTTCCAAAAAGTTTCCAAACTGGTTTTACAATGTTACATTTCGCCAGCAGTGTATGAGGATCCAATTGCTTCGAAGTCTCTAGTACCTGACATTGTCAGTCACTTTTCCTAACTTCAAGCATTTCAATGTGTATACACAGTACTATGTTTATGACTTGCTTTCTCTCTCTCTCTCTCCCTTTTTCTCTTTCCCTCTTTCTTCTGTACTAGTATTGAGGATTAAACCCAGTCTACCACTGAGCTATGTCCCTAGACATTTATTTATTTATCTGGTACTGGGGGATCGAACTCCAGTCCTTGCGCTTGCAAGGCAGGTGGCAGAACCACTGAGCTAAATCCCCGGTCCTCTAGTCATTTATTTTTTATTCTGAGACAGGTCTTACTAAGTTGCCCAGGCCAGCCTTGAACTTGCTATCTTCTTACATCAGCCTCCCAAGTAGCTGAGATTATAGGTGTGTACTGTCCTGCCCAACATTATTTTCTTCTTCCTCCTTTTTATTAGTATATATTTGGAATACATAACAAATACTTTCATCATGTGGAGTTTGTACATATACATAACTCATCTTGATCTTTTTTCCTTCCCCTTCCCTTCTCCTCCCACCTCCTCTATCCCTAGAACCCCTTCCTTTTTTTTTTGTACTGGGGAACCAACTTGGGTCCCTGCACTTGTGAGGCAGGCGGTGGCACCACTGAGCTAAATCCCCCCCCCATGGTATCTTTTGAAAAGCAGAATGTGTGTGTGTGTGTGTGTGTGTGTGTGTGTGTGTGTGTGTGTGTGTGTGTGAGTGTGCGCGCGCGCAGTACTGGGGATCAAACTCAGGTCCTTGTGCTCATAAGGCAGGCAGCGGAACTACTGAGACAAATCCCCAGACCAGAGTTTTTAATTTTTGTGGTACTGGGATTAGAGCTCAGGGCCTTTTGCATTCCAGGCAAATGCTGTGCCATTGAACTGTATTCTCAGCCCTAGAAACTTTAATTCTAATGAAACTAAAAAAAGTTACATTTTAAAATTATGTGTGAACTCCAATTACTTTTCTGGTTATTTTGTTGTCACCCCCCCATCTACAAATGTTATCCAACAGGCAACTAATGAATTCCAGGGAAGTATCAACTTATAAAGCCTTTATTCTAAAATGAAATAAGGTATATTAGTATCTTAATGATAGTTTCCTATATGTCATCATTAACAAAGCCTTTGGTGGGAAAGCTGAATGCTCTTCAAGCATTAGCTATGAATTCTACATTCTGTTCTATTCTATTTTTTCTTTCTTTTTTTGTACTGGGGATCGAACTTGGGTCCTTGTGCTTGTGAGGCAGGCAGTAGAACCACCGAGCTAAATTTCTGGCCCCTATTCATTCTTGACATAGCAGACATAAAAAAACAAAAACAAAAACAGGACCAGGGATTTAGCTCAACGGTTCAGTGGCCTGCCTTGAAAGCGCAAGGACCCGAATTCAATCCCCAGTACCAAAAACAAAACAAAACAAAAACAAACAAACAAAAAACAAAAACAAAGGAACGCTAAGGAACTTAGTATTAAAAATACCAGCTACAATCTTTTGCTGCTATATTTCAGATACTGTGCTAAAAGAGTCATCATAACAATTCTGTGAGGTAAATATTTTTGTTCTCATTCAGATACTCAGATGAGGAAAATGAGAAATTAAATACCTGGCCCAAGATCATATAACTAGGAGCCACTTGGGCTGATTCTGAGCTAATCTACTTAAGTCCAAAGCTTGTGCTTTTCATTAATATTCTGAATGTTCTAGATCCATTCCAGTTTAGATATATGGAATGCAGATTTTGTAGGGGGAACAGAGACAGAGGAGAGAGGTTGGGGGAAACAGACAAGGTCTGAAACTATTTTGGCAAGTGTTTGTCACCCTCTGGCCCCCACTCCCCTGAGTCAGTGGTGGTGAACCTATGGCATACGTGCCGCAGCAGGCTGTTTATATCAGTGAAATCTCTAGGAGTTTTACCATCACTGTCCTACATGGACTGGTTAATTTTATGGAAGCCAAACTGAACCAACATAAACACAAGTTCAGAAGCATAATAGTTTCAGATAATCTGACCAGTTAGCAGCCACAGGGCTTAGCACATACTTTGTCAGAACTTCCTAAAATCTTCCTTTTGTTAAAAAAATTAGTTTATGGAGAATGACACTCATAAACTTTAGTTATGCTAAGGTCTCATCTAAAATTTTACATTCAGCCAATTCTTTTGCTGGTACCAGCACGGTCAGATCTCATTAAAGTCGTATCGCAACCGGGGACTGAAAAAAAAAAAAGTCATATAGCTATTTGGAATCTTGTCCTAGTGATTAGCATTATACAATTTCCCTTATACAATCTTTTCTTCTTTTTTTTTTTTTTTTGAGACAAGGTCTAACTGTGTAGTTGAGACTGACCTGGAACTCACTATGTAGCCCAGGCTGGTCTCGAACTCACAGCAATCCTCCTGTCTCAGCCTCCCGTGTGCTGGGATTATAGGCGTGCACCACCATACCCGGCTTTAAAATCTTTATTACATTGTTATTTCCCACCTTGGCAGGTATGAAATTAGTTTAGTTAAACTGCACATCTGGTACATAGGTGATTTTATGTTACTAGTCACAGAATTTACCAAGGCCTTTCCTTCTACTTGATGGCCTGAGTCTAGCCATTTACACAGCAGAGATGAAATGTTCACTGGGGCCATTAAATTGTGACAACTATGATCAGCAATAGTGTCCCCTATTGTATTGTACTCTGCTGAATCCTGAATCCTTAGACTTTCCTTTATTGTAGTTAAATATTCTCTTTGTAAATGCCTTTATTAGTCAGACAGAGATAAGAGATTTGTATAGTCTATTAAAAGTTATGGGATGATTACCAAAAAGGCAAATTTGTATTTTACCTCTTTGGAAATTAAAGACCAAAACAATAATTTAGCTTTGGAATTTATTGGTATGGTATTAGAATGCAGTTTGAAAGGAAGAACTAAATTAGAGAGGAGGTGATAGTAATATGTACTTAGAAAAGAATTGTTTTCAACCAAGATAAAAAAGGAATGCTTACCTGTATGCCAAGGCCACCCTTTTTGTTCAATGCAAAAATGTATTTCACCACAGTTATGGTTTAGGAGGGTGTACCTCAGTCATAAAGTGTCTGCCTACAAATATGAAGCTCTGGGTTAAATTCCAGTCCTCAGAAAAACAATCATGATAGTGGAAATAAAATTCTTCTGTATTTTACTTTACCATAAATTATGACAGCACATAACTACAATTTTTTGATATTCTGTTGTATTTAAGACCCCAACATATTCTTTATTTTTACATCTAAAAAAAATCCCTTCTATATTCTAAAGAGTTTGTGATGTATTTCTATTTGTTCTAATACTCCCACAATCTGCTCTTTGATTACTAAAGGTAATTGGCATTTGGTAGAAAAGCTTTA